GGGTGGTGAGGGGCTGCGCAGGGTGGTGAGGGGCTGCGCGGGGTGGACGGGTGGTGAGGGGCTGCGCGGGGTGGACGGGTGGTGACAGGTGGTGCGGGGCGGCGCGGCGCGGGGTGGTGCTGGGCCAGGCATTAAAATGAGACTGGATTCTGCATAATTAGACTTTTAGACACCATCAAACTGATCTATAAGATAAAATGCTCCAATCCAGCCTCAGCATCAGGGTGGAGGTCTACATATTTCCACCCATTTACTCCACTATTTAACCAAACTAAAACACCATCAGAGGAGGTTCAATGACAGGATGCTGAACATTCCATGAAAATGAGACGTATACAAAGCTAGCATGTGCTCTGCATGGACCTCATGGTGTTTATTCTGTCTTTAGGATGGACTTCGATGATGAGGATGGGGAGGGGCCCAGCAAGTTTTCAAGGTAAGGAAACTAGTCATGGTTGTCATCTAAGACCATCCTTCATCAGCAATAAACCCAGAAATGACGGTTCTTCTAGGAAACGAATCTGCTGATCATTTTGATAAAACCTTTGAAATAAAAGCCGCTCAGCTGAAAACAAACACTATGAATGACGTCCATGTTAACAATGTAAAGCAGCAGTGCAGGAGATTGCTTGATTTTCTGTGAAAACGTTGCAGTTCAGTTGAAAACGAGGGGCTTGGTTGATGCCGTGTGTGAAACATGAAACAAACATTACACAATTACAACATTACAGACATGTAGGAACGAGGCGTTCCTGCGCGGTGAGGGAGCACAACAGGATGTGGCGAGAGCCAATCCGCCCTCTGTGTCCTGCAGCTGACCACCACCGACCAGTCCCTGGTTGATCGACTCCAGGGGTTCAGAAACTCTGGGGCGGGGACTTTTGCATATACCATCCTCTGATTGGTCGGTTTAATGCTTTACGGGGTCAAAGCCTGTGAGTCATTATGACCTGTGACTTGAAGGCCTTTATCAGAATGAACAGCAGTGGGATTAACATCTTTCAGAACCGCCTGCTGAATAGATTGGTACGCTCCAATTAATAGCCCTGATCCACAGTCTGAAGCTCCTGCAACACCTTGACTATTTAGGATTTGATGTAGGAAAAATCTAGCAAAAATGCCTGCCTAGGTTAGATCAGTTGTGGGTATGCTGAAACACGTGGATATTAGGGGTGGAACGATTCACAAAATCCACGGTTCAGTTCCGTTTACGGTTTCGTGGTCACGGTTTTTGTTTCGGTTCGGTATATGTTTATTGTTACACCGAAATCCCATAAAAATTTATGAAAAAAATGAAAAAATCCCCAAAAATTAATGGATTGTAATTATTTTAAATGATCCACGGAAACCCAGGATCATTTCCGTATGTTTTGCTGCTTTGAATTTAATCATCTCGCGCATGCTCTCTACCATCTCCAAGGAACTCAGAGCGGAGCGGACGGGAGCCACAGTGGAGGCTGTAGGCTTTGCTTTGAGCAGCCGGTCTGGAGCGCAGCGGGGCGGAGCGCTGATGGAGTATGAGGGATTTCGGGGTTAGCATAACATGTTGGTCATGTTGCTGTTAGCATAAACAAAACGTGTTGCACAATGCTTGCACACAGTTGCACTTTTCTCCACAACTTTTTCCTCCGTCATCGTAGGTCACTTTAAATGCAAAGTGGTCCCATACAGCAGACCTATAAAGTGCTGCTGGCGCGTCTTCCAACTCCTGTTCTTTCCCATTCGCCATACCCACACAATTCTCCACAACAACTGATTTTTTTTTTTCTGCTAAGCTGCTTTGCTTCTTCTTCTTCTTGTTTACTACTGGTGGTTGGCTTTGGGCGCAGTACCGCCACCTTCTGCTCTGGAGTGTACACGCTTCGCTCAGAGAAAAAGGAGCAGCGCATGAACCGAACGCAACACACACGAACCGAACCGAGACAGTCGAATCGAACGGTTCGGACGGTTTTCATAAACCGTTCCATCCCTAGTTAGATATACATAAGGATGTTGAGGAATAACGAGCATGCTCTAAATTACTCATATTCAATCCGTGATCCATCAGTTCCAGGTCAGTTATCTGATGGCTGACATCCGTTCAGTGTCAGTTCCTCATCAGTCGTGGCGTCTAGCTTATCCTAAACCTCTGAGTAACTTGTCCATAACTTCTGCGTAACTTATCCAGAACTTCTCTCCAACGCATATCAAGGTATCTGACGTGTTCCAGACGAGCGCTGAACGTGTTTCTAACTTCCAGCTGCTGTATAATGGCATATTGGCAGCGTTTTGGTATAAAGGGGGTTCTCAGGAGGAAACCGTCAGTTCTCCTCCAGAATTCATCCCCATCATAGGGTGAGCCAGAATGTGAGTGATGGATCCTCCCTACGTTCACGCCCACAACCAACACACTTCCTAGCAGACATGATGCTCAATCTGCTGACACCAGAAACCTGCTTTCTTTTTATTCATTCTTTTCATTTTGTTTCTTTTTTGTGGCAGGCAGTCAACAGGAGCTAGGTTAATACAGCAATCAAAGAAATCTTTTTCTGCAGGCCGGACACCTCATCGCATCGCTGCCCCCCTCTGGACACTGGCTGGTGCATCATTTCATGGGCATTATGCTGTTGTGCGTTATGCAGAAGTTCAGAAGGACTGGACTCGCTATGAATACTCTATGTTTACGCCCAGAATAGAAAAAAATCAGTGTTAGTGTTAGTATCAGTGTTAAGTTTCTGCCGGCGTTTAGGAGATTCTGGAACGTCAGGCAGAAGCTGGATAAATCAGCAAGGTGTGACAGGGGCTTAACAGGCAGAGTTTTACCTGCTACGTTGGGTTCTGTTTTCTCCAGCTATGATGATGATGGTGGGGATAAGCAGAGGTACCGTAAATCCTCTAATATAGGCCGGGGCCTTTATTTCACTCAGGTGCATCTTGGTCCAGGCCATTATTGGAAGGAGGCCAGAATTAGAGGCAGGCCTCTATTTCTATTTGATCAAAACAGACGACCAGTGGAATTAATAAAAACAGATTGTCTCTTTGAACCGATAAAATACTAGGTTAATTTATTGAAAAAGTACAGTTACCATAACGGTTTACAGAACATTATTCAGACATCTTCCAGCAGCTGCTATTTTTCTGCACAGCAATACAAAAAAAAAGACACAGAATGGATTCTTGGCCAAACAAAGTTTTAAAATAAATTAATGGAAACTGTTCTGCCATCACAGCCGGTCAAAAAAACCAAACAATCCGGCCTCCTGTCTGCAGCACTGTCTGCGCTAAGGATGGGAATTCCCAAGCTAATGGATTGGATTCGTTAATGGAATACAGGCCAATATTAGAGGATTTACGGTATGCCAGGCAGGCTTAGCCAGCTGTAGTTATTCAGTTCTAAGATAAGGTTTCTCTAATGGGTGGAAGTGATCATTAACAGTTCCTGTTTAACAAATACACACAGAGTTTAATAATCAACAGGTTCCTGATCTGAAAGCGTTTTTTTCTCACAGCAAAGAGGTTAAAGAACCACAGTCTGAGTTGTACTGAAGACAAAACAACAGGATGAAGGTGTGGAACCATTTTCCCTAAAACACCTGGAAGACTTTATTCTACTAATAATTCTTTGATTTGAGCGTCATTCAAGCTAACTTTGAATATCCATGCATAGAAAACTGGAAGGAATCATCATCATCAGAAAGTTCAGAAAGCATTTGATTTGGTTCCTGATCAGGTGGGGAACACTAGAACCGAACTGTTAGGACCCAATCTGATCGGTTCAGGTGACGCTGTGGTTCCTGATCAGGTGGGGAACACTAGAACCGAACCGTTAGGACCCAATCTGACATCACAGCTCCTCCTCTTCAGCCTCTGGGGGTCTAATATCTTCTGTTCTCTGTTTCAGAGAGAATCACAGTGAGATCGAAAGACGTCGGCGTAACAAAATGACCCAGTACATCACCGAGCTGTCTGACATGGTGCCCACCTGTAGCGCCCTTGCCCGCAAACCGGACAAGCTGACCATCCTGCGAATGGCCGTCTCTCACATGAAGTCCATGCGGGGCACAGGCAACACTTCTACTGACGGCGCCTATAAGCCCTCCTTTCTCACCGAACAGGTAGAGTCCATGTTCCAGAAACTGTTTTATATCAACTTGTTTTTATAAACATCTCAGGGCAGGTTTAAAGCATCAGGGGCTTCCAGCTCCATCTAGGGTGGATCCCATTAAAGGGCAGCAGAATGTAGAATATATTGTTAAATGATCAGTTTCACTTTCCATGGTTATTAATTAAAGGGAAACACTGTTTCATTTACATTGGGTCCTTGATTTTCTGTTATTCCATCATGTTCTACTCACCCATATGAGTTTAGTGTCATTAGGAGCCGTTATGAAGATATTCCGTTAGGTTATATCCAAGTAACCTCTTCCTATGGGCAACGACTTGAAGGCACAAACTAAACTGTTCATCATTTATTCTTTATGGTCCCCCAGACATCCGCCGTTAGATTTTTATGTTTATATTTTTTTTAAAACAAAGCGGCGTGTGTATGATGTCATCCGCGTGCGTTGGCTACCATTGATTCATCCTGTCCGCTGAACTGCTGCTAGTCTTCGTCACATGCCTGGAAGATGTCTAGTGCTGCTACCACAGATGATCTCGCTCTCCAAATGGAATTGAACGATTCAGATTAGCTAGAATGAATAGAAGGGGTAGAGCGTAGCCGCCTGTGGCCCAGGCTAACTGTCACTACTACAGTCCGCCGCGCGGATGAACAGGAGCACGCAGCATAAAGGTCACCACACACCCGGCTCATCTGCAGCTGCATTTCACCTCCTGTTGTTAATAGTGTCTAGATAATAATAAATTATGACTTTTGCATTTATTGGGGGAATAATAATGAACACAGTCAAAAACACAAATCAAAGAACATTTTACCAAATAAAACAATCAAACCCCCATCAGAGCCAGCGGTACTTCACACACGGCTATGCAGAGAGAGGGCTGCTGCAGATGGGCTAACGTTAGCCCTGGCTGCTGCAGACAGGGTGACGTTAGCCCTGGCCTCTACAGATGGGCTAACGTTAGCCCTGGCTGCTTTTAGCCTTGGAGGTCAGCTGGTTGCCGTGGTCCTCTCAACTTTGGAAATAATTTTTAAAATGACGCATTAAACCGGTAAATGGAGCATATAGTAACGCTTTAAAGTATAATATTCACCTCAAATCATCTTAAAACGTACTTTTATTGAAGAACAGCAACAGAAAAGAGAACTTTTAACTTTCAATGGAGCGCTCCATTGAAAGCTCCTGCTGCAGTGCATGCTCGGACAGCTGTCAGTCTGGAGAACGGACAAGTCTGCTCTGATGCATGCTGGGTAAAGAGGGAGGGGCCAGAACAACCTCCGGGGAGTTTGTTCGTTCTAGGTCTGCTGTTCTGGTGAATTGGAGCAGTACTAGGGTTGAGGATGATGACATTTCACGAGGACACCAGGACGCACAAGTACACAGACTGAGAAACGGCCCATGTTTTTACTATTTGTGAGATGAAATATTTAGATTGTGCCTTTTCTTGGCCAAAAAAAAACAGCAATAAGTACAAAAACCCTCCTCCTTTCCTCTCCTAAATGCTGCTTTGCTAAATTGATTCGTCTACAGATAGCTGTTCCTTAGCTGAGGTTTGTTGGTCAGTGCGGGTTTGTTCGGAGAGATTGGCGTTTCTTATTTTCCGCTGTAGGTGTCTCCTTTAGGTGTGGAAAAAGCGTAGTGGTGCTGCTGCCTTTAAATCACGCCTTTAGGCAAATGTTGCTGACCAGTTTCAGGGCTTAAAGCAAAAACGGAAATTGCACATCACTACTGCACCTAGCTATGGATGGCCGTTCTTCTGTTAGCAGCTAACTTGTTAGCTACCTGGACCGGGAACCTTTTCTGACCATTTAAAAGATGCCTTTTAGAATATTACCCAATGGCTTCTAATACAACTGCATCTAAATAAACTCCCTCCCTTGCTGGGAACCTTGTGTTGCCAATGTTTACTAGCCGCTATTCACTGCTGTTTCTGCTATGAAGGCTGCAGCTCGTTCATCTAACTGCCCCCCCCGGAGAACTTAAAGCCCCGTAGTCCCAAGCAACAGATGATTTTATTCCATTTTTCAGAACAAACCTCTCACTCCCCTGTACTTCTGATGCTGTTTAGGGTGATTTTGTGTATAATCCTGCAGCTACAGTAACTCCGGGGAACCAAAAATGCATCTTTAAAATAAAGTAATCCGAAACAAAAATTTCAAATGAATTCATTGAATAGATTTTTTGCCCAGGCCTTCTAACAGGCACATACTGTAGAAAGTATTCACATCCCTTCTGAATGGGTGAGGGTCTCTGCTTTGACTCGGCAGGAGCTGAAGCACCTGATCCTGGAAGCGGCCGACGGCTTCCTGTTTGTGGTGGCAGCAGAGACGGGCCGAGTCATCTACGTGTCGGACTCTGTGACCCCGGTGCTGAACCACCCGCAGTCAGAGTGGCTTGGCAGCACCCTGTATGAGCAGGTTCACCCCGACGACGTGGACAAGCTGAGGGAGCAGCTTAGCACCTCGGAGAACTCAATGACAGGTAGGAGTCATAACATTTGCTCTCTGCGTATTATATTGGTTTCATTTTTCCATTTCTGACATTTCCACCTGGAAATGAAAAGCTGCTTGGGGGAAAATCTACCAGTTTATTTACCATTTAATGATGAATGCAGGTTCTATGGAGAGAGGCCTCTCACCATGGCTGCATATCTTTGTAGGAAGGTTCCTCACTGTTAATGAGCTGCAAACTCTCCCTTTTATTTCTGGCTGTTGATGGTCGGACAGGACGGATTCTGGACCTGAAGACGGGAACAGTAAAGAAGGAAGGACAGCAGTCTTCCATGAGGATGTGCATGGGCTCCCGGCGCTCCTTCATCTGCCGCATGAGGTCTGTGGTTGATCAGAAATGTAAAGCCTGGCGCAGTACTGCAGGGGGGGGGGCTATTACAGAGCATCGCCTTGATACGTGCATTCCTTCTAACAGGGGCCAGTGTGTCTTTAAATCTCAGAATGAGTCCAGCTGTTGGTCTCAGAATCGTGTTGGATAACATTGAATGGCTCTGATGGGTCAGGAAGAAAGTTCTGGTTCCGTTTGAGGCAGGTCCGGATTCTAAAATATCTCCCAGATTTGATCATCACCCAGACCTCCATTCAGTCCATAATCTGAACAGCTTGCAGAACTCCCAGGACCAATGAGAGCATTGATGAGCCTGCCTCCTTGTAGGAACCTCTGATTACCTCCTACTAGGAACCTCTGATTGGCTCCTACTAGGAACCTCTGATTGGCTCCTACTAGGAACCTCTGATTGGCTCCTAGTAGGAGCCTCTGATCGGCTCCTAGTAGGAGCCTCTGATCGGCTCCTACTAGGAACCTCTGATCGGCTCCTACTAGGAACCTCTGATCGGCTCCTAGTAGAGAACCTCTGATCGGCTCCTACTAGGAACCTCTGATTGGCTCCTACTAGGAACCTCTGATCGGCTCCTACTAGGAACCTCTGATTGGCTCCTAGTAGAGCCTCTAATTGGCTCCTACTAGGGACCTCTGATTGGCTCCTAGTAGAGCCTCTGATTGGCTCCTAGTAGGAACCTTTGATTGGCTCCTACTAGGAACCTCTGATTGGCTCCTAGTAGGAACCTCTGATTGGCTCCTACTAGGAACCTCTGATTGGCTCCTAGTAGGAACCTCTGATTGGCTCCTACTAGAAACCTCTGATTGGCTTCTACTAGGAACCCTCTGATTGGCTCCCAGTAGGAACCTCTGATTGGCCCCCAGTAGGAACCTCTGATTGGCTCCTAGTAGGAACCTCTGATTGGCTCTTAGTAGGAACCTCTGATTGGCTCCTAGTAGAGAACCTCTGATTGGCTCCCACTAGGAACCTCTGATTGGCTCCCACTAGGAACCTCTGATTGGCTCCCACTAGGAACCTCTGATTGGCTCCTAGTAGGAACCTCTGATTGGCTCCTAGTAGGAACCTCTGATTGGCTCCTAGTAGAGCCTCTTACTACCTCCTAGTAGAGAACCTCTGATTACCTCCTAGTAGGAGCCGATCGATAGATTCCAGGTTTATTTTATTTAATCACCTTCAGTAATGATAAATTACTACTAATAATACATTATAATAGTAATAATGTATTTATTATGATAATAATAAATAATAATATATGATTATAAAATGTCTTTATTCCCTGCTTCCTTCCTAGCCTCCTGGTATCAGAGCTCAGTTTGCTAAGCCTCTGTCCTTTTGTTGCTCAGCCTTCATGGCCGGTTTAGGTGATGCCATCTGCAAAAAGTCAAATGTTTATGATCTGATGCACTGCTGTTCACCACGCAGAGACAATCTCTCTGCTTCTCTGATTCTTCTCAGTCTGTAAAGGCACTTCCAGTGTTTTTAGTTCCTGCCGTCTGGACCGTGTTATCAGGAGTCTGTCTAATGTTTGCTTTTCCTTGTTTAGATGCGGCAGTGCACCCCTGGACCACATCTCCCTAAATCGCCTGTCCAACATGAGGAAGAGATACAGGTAGAGTCCAAACGGCTGCCTTGATCCAGAGTTTTAGGGATTTACTAACTTTAAAGTTTGATGCTCACTGCACCCTAATGGTGAGGGTTAGATTCACTGGTGGAGGGTTAGATTCACTGGTGGAGGGTTAGATTCACTGGTGGAGGGTTAGATTCACTGGTGGAGGGTTAGATTCACTGGTGGAGGG